GATATAATATTTTGAGTGTTAGTAGCACTCTTTTTTGAATGATTATGGATATGTTCATAAGTATTTATTGACCATATATGTTTAATTTAGGTATATGATTTTACTGAGTATGAAGTTTGGAACAGAAAATTATAACCAACTATCTAGTTAATGGTGAAATAGAAATATGACTTTGGTTTATTATGTGAAAGCATCTAGTAAAAGATTGAGGTTTAGGTCTAATAGCCTTGTGTGACATCCGTGACGGGAGGCGGGCTGATAAGGACGGGTCAAAGAGAAGATTTTATAGATTTTTAGATTAGTAATCTTCTGAAGGAGTATATATGTCATTTTAGGTAACTTCATATTAAAATAGAGAAAAAAAAGATGAAGGATTTTACTGGGCACAATATACAAGTTTACATCGATAATTGCATACCCCAAGAACAAATTTATGGAGTCAATATATTGGACCTAAGTGGACAATGCATGTCATGGATTAAGATAATCACAAATATGATATCAAAGCCTAACGTTCACTTAATACGGTGATGGGATAAACCTTATTGAGGACGATGAATTCCTATGAAGGGTGTATGTGGTGTGGTGCCTATAATAGTGGGTGACAAATGAGAATGGATCAAAGAGAAAGACTATAAATTTTTAAACTCCCAAGTTTCTAAAAGAATGGATGAATACAACAATTTAAGAAATTTCACATCGAAATGAAAATTTTAGAAGACACAACTCAAGTTTTTATTTGATGCACACTAGTCTATGCTAGATAATAGCATAAGCAAAGAAAGACAAATTACATCTGAACTAAAATGAATAATTTTTATTTAATTTACACCACATAAATTCTATTTGGGAAAAATATTTTTTATCAATGATTTTTCTATAGACCGTACTTGAAGTTGAAATTTCAAATTAAGAGAAGAATAGATTCATCCACTGAACCACATCCGTTCATGATAAAGCGGACAATATTGGGCATGAGCATGGATGGGACAAGATGGCACCTAAAGATTAACAGTAGAAGCAAATTAAATATTACAACTTTTTTGGTAGGAACCCTTTTACAACTCATCGTGTGCAATAATTATTACCACATGTGCACTGATACGCAAACTCATTTTTATGGCAATTTGTATTTACATATTCCTGTACTTACATTTTTTTTCTCTTTTTGGGTCCAATTTACACATTTAAATTATTATTAATAACGGTTTAATCCTCCCTCTTGTAACTGTTTTTCTTCTATATTTCCTCTCTTACCCCGGTATAATTATTTTTTTAAAACAATTCCTTAAAAAAGTTTTTTTTTCTTTTTAGCTAGAGAAAGTAATTAGGATATTTTTTTGTGCTGCATTAAAGAATAACATATATTTACATACAATTCAGTCACTTAAAAATTAATTACGAGTATATTATTATAATAAATATTATAATCGATAACCTAATAAAAATGACAATTATCTTAGTTACCATGGAACCATTTAGTTTTTTTTTTTAAATCATCAAGTGGTATAATATTTTAGGGTTTGGCTTGATCAACAATACCCCAGAAAGCAAACAGTAGATTGCTTATTATATATCAAGTTCGAAACCTAAATAAGCCACAAAAAAATAATAGTGACCAAAATAAGCCACTATTCTAGTAAGTAACTAAAATAGACTTAGTGGAAGAAAAAAAAATTATTTTATGCAATATTCCAAACGTTTTTCGTTAGTCTCATAACGTGTATATTTTAATATATAACGGAACTATTTCTTACACTTTGTAAAGTGTAAGTTTTTCTTACACTTTGTAAAGTGGAAGAAAAAATTTTGTTTTACAAAGAGGAATATTTTTCACATTCTCATTATGATGCTTTTGCAGTGTTTGTCATATAATTATATTGATTTGACATATCATTAAAACGGAAAAAATTATTACATTATGTATTTTTATTTTTTTTATTCTGAAAACTTCTCTAAGCTCTATTTAAGGACGTTCAAACATAGTACCTTCAACATATTTAGTCTTCTATTTTTCTTCATTTCAAACACAAAAAAAATGTCTTCTAAACCAAAAGTTAGAGTTTTGATTTATTGGGATGGTGAAATTATACATGACGAAAATATCGTTTATTATAATTGTCTTTTCAAACACAATGCTAATATTTAATTAATGTCCGATATCATAAATTTCTTTCGTCAATTTATAAAAGAATGGGTATAAATTGATTATAATTTGATTATAGTCGAAAAATACCCTACTTCATTTTTGTCACAAGGACAAGTAAATTTTGGAGAGTGGATTATCTATAGTGACAAATCGTTGACCGACTTTTTGAGGGTTCCAAATGACTACATAGATCAAATCAAGTTAACACTTATGATACATAATGTAATAATTTTTTCCTTACATAGAGCTTGGAGTAGTTTTCAGAATAAAAAAATAAAAATACAAAATGTAATAATTTTTTCCGTTTTTATGATATGTCAAATCAATATAATCTGCAAAAGCTTCATAAAGAGATACAATTTAATATAAAACGTGAAAAATATTCCTCTTTGTAAAACAAAATTTTTTCTTCCACTTTATAAAGTGTAAGAAAAACTTCCCTTTTACAAAGTGTAAGAAAAACTTACAGAAATAGTTTCGTTATTTATTAAAATATACTGGTTATGAGACTAACGGAAAACGTTTGGAATATTTCATAAAACGAAATTTTTTCTTCCACTAAATCTATTTTAGTTACTTACTAAAATAGTGGCTTATTTTGATCATTTTTATCTTTTTGTGGATTATTTAGGTTCCGGACTCTTATATATCTTGATAATTTATGTACAAAATTATTTAAATTTTTTTTTTCAAATATTTAATAATTCTAATGGTCTTTCGATTTTACATATGTACAACTTATGACTACTTAAAATGGTATGTTCATTTTTGTTGAATACCATTCCCAAATTAAATTTGAACTCTATTAGTTCCTCCTAATTAGTCACCATCTCCTCGCGCTATAATATTGTTTCTATGTTCATTGCTATATATCCTTAATTTAAAAATATATGTTGCTATAGTATCGTTTCTATGTTCATCGCTATACACACAATATAGTATAAGTTGCACAACAAATTTAGAATTCGAATGTTATGAGTTTGAGTATCGAATTCTATCCCATCCTATTTGATTACTGCATTCAAAATCTACAATATTTATTTAATGAAATTTTTAATAAATATATAAGTTTTAAATCAAAATTACTCAATACGGAAGAACGTACCCTATTACACTAGGTCCACCCCTGATGTTGTACCATTTGTCCATAGGTAATTTTCATTTTTTTTCCAAAAATTTATTCTAAGAAATAATTTGGACATACAAATTGTCAAGAAAAAATTCGAAATTCAATTGGAATTTTCCGAAATTCGAAAAGCTCCAAAAATCTATTTTCATAATTCACTCTCTACCACCAAAAAAGTTCAAAAAATAATTCCATACTTCTATTCATGTCTAAATACGATTCTAATTTTTAAATATCATTTTTAATACAAATTTCATAAATTTTATGTCTAAATGTTGGCCCAGTGAATACACACAATACTTAAAAACACATGTAAATCTAGTCTGGTTATAACAATTTGTCATCAGCATTGCATTTGACTCCTTTTTATTAATTAAGTGGACAGTCAGTCAGTGATTCCAGTTATAGTGTTCCTTGCAAGTGGGATTCAAAGAACAAATTGTCAACTCTGTCATTTAGTATTATTTAATTTGTTGGGAAAGGAATATAATGAATATATATATAGTATAACACATAAGTAATAATTGAACTATTTTTAATTAGCTATATCATATCATATCATTGAATGTAAGTGCATGAATTTACCCAAAAAACATGTATACAGAAGCAGCCAGGAAATGTGTCTCTTCCAGAAGAAGCTTTAAATGTATCGTGCGAATTCAGTAGCTTTTATATTAACTTTGTATACATACTAACAAATCCACTAAATATTATTCTTGTTCTATATTTTTATGCCATACAATTTAAATTTTAAAAGTCAATTTTGCAAAATATAATTTTGACTGTGAAATTGGATATAAAATTTGTAAGTATTTTGGAATGAAATTTACATATCTAAAAAACTATATAAAAGGTTAAGTTATAATAATTAATAATTGAAACTATTTAAAACGCATATGAAAAGATTGTGTTTAAGGAAAAAATCATTGATTCGCAAAAATTATGACATAAATTGCACGAATAGAGTATAAATATTTGATTTATTATTGTATAACATCTTAAGATTATTACAAGAATCTATAAATTTCAAATTCTGAGATGTGACTAATTTTTTATTTTGAGTAAGGAGGCAATCTTTGCTTATTTTCTGTTTTAAAACACTCCCCTCCAAACAGTAACCAATAAACTACTAAAAAATTATTATAATTTTTTTTAAAACAACCTGCATGCATAGCAGGAGCATTTCCAAGATAATATTTGAGTCTTATCCATAGGTATAATATAATATAAATTAATTGTTATGATGTAGCAATTTTGATCAAGTGCATATTAATAGTAACAATAAAAAAGGATTAAATTATTAGTTGAACTTAACACTCCTAGATTTTGTTCACATACCATCATGGATTTCTTTAGTTCTAGTTTATAATTTTCACTAAATTAGAATGAAAATAAGTAAAGTTTAGTACTTATCCACAACATCAACCAATTAATTAAACAAACTAATAAAAACCCATTAATTATAAGTATAGAGGCACATGGATTGGCCTTTCTTTAGTGCTTGGACAACTATGATGATGAAGATAAAAGAAATTAAAGTGCAAGAAGGGAATATTGAATATTTAATATTAAAAAACACAAACATGAACATTCATTGTTTCTAGTCACAAAATTTGAAGCACAAACAAGAAAAAGAAGACACATACTCCTATAAATTTTCAATAGTAATTAAACAAGCACTTGTTCTTTTTTAACACTAACTAAAAGATAGAGTAAATTATTGGAGAAAAAGGAAATAAACCATATTTTATTTCAACCATAATGGAAGCTACAAGAGAAAATGTTTATATACTTAGAAAAAGTAATATAGTTTTTCTCCATCCTATAACTATATATACTTCTTCCAAAAAACATTTTCCTACAAAACACAAACATTATAAACTCTATGTATAAAATCAAACATTGATAGAAATTTAATTACCTTAGTACATATGATCTCTTGATCCTAATATACCCTTCTTTTATTCATCAAATTTCACCTTCTTCTTTTTTTTTGAAAAATCTCAATAAGGTGGTCTAGGATTTGCCCAAGCATATGCATCATGATTCAATTGTCCACCATTTGGTAATAAATTTGGTGTAAAATTATAAATAGGTAATGATGATGGATCAGGCAATTCATGTTGTTGTTGATGTTGTTGTTGTGGCCTTCCATCACTTGAACCTAAGGTTGGAGGCGAATTTTCAGCCGGTACTTGTGATTGGCTGGGGCGATCGCCTCCAACCTCTTCCTCTTCTTCTAGTGGTAACCTTTCATAGGTAGCATTAGAAAAAGTGGCAGCTATAATCATTACTGGGCCCGCAGCAATTAATGGCCCAACAATACTACCACCAACCACTTGTCCTTGGCCACCGGCCAAATAGACAGTTAACCTGGTCGAGCCAGGAGGGGCTGGACCGGGTAAAAATGCTCCGGTCAATGATAGAATCTCGAATCTTCCTTGTAGAACAATAGCACCTGGAGATGATGGTTGTCTTAGGGTTACATTTGCAACCGATCCATTCCCACTAAGTACACAAACGCCACGTTGGCGCCTCCTCGCAAATTGTGCAATACAATCAGCAACATCTGTCCCTCCTGCCACCTCCATGACGTGGCTCCTGAGGGCATTAGGGCTATCCCGGGTCACAAAAATTGGTGGTTTGGGCTTGTTCTTGGATCCTGGTGGACGACCTCTAGGTCTTCTATTACCAACCTCAACCGCGCCTTCTTTAGGCTCATGATCACCATTTTCTCTATCATTATCTTCTTGATTTTCACCACTACTCCCACTCGAAACCTGCTTCGTTACAAGCATAGGTGGGCAAGATCCTGACTCAAGCCCGGACATGCCCACCTGACCACCCCACCAATTAGCCATAACTGCAAAATTCTTTAACCTATCTTGAAGAATCTCTACTTCTTGTGAAGATAAAATTAGGGTTATATATGGAAAGCTAGAATTAGCAAAATTTATTTTTATTTTTATTTTTTAAAAAAAGAACAAAAGTGAAGATCTAAATTAAGGAACAAATGCAAATTAAAGAAAAACAGAAACTCTGGACAGAATCAAACCCAAAGGGAGAAAAAAAAGAGAGAGAATAAAGCACACATAGAGATTGAAAAAACTAATACTAACAAAGTTTATATTACATAGTACAGTATATTATATGTCTTTATTTATTTTTTTTGGTTTTAGAAAAAAAAAATGCCATTACAAAAAGTCTAAAGGAGAGAATTATGAGAAGGGAGTAAGTAAGAAATGATTTTAGAGAGTTGATGGATTTTTTTCTTTATAGAAGTTTCTCATCAAGTAGTGGGGTTTTTTTTAAAAAAAAAAATAAAAAAATGTATATATATTTGTATATAAAAATTAGGGTTTCTTGAAGTCTCTTTCCATAGAGTCCAAAATTGTGGGGTCGCATGCGCGTGGGCAGGTGGCATTGTGGGAAGCACGTCGCTATCTCTTGCCCCCACCGTATTCACACTCGGTAAAAACTTATCTGCATTGAATCGTATTAATTTATCGTAATAATATATCGTGAAATTTCATGAATGAATATTTCAAACAAACTAGCTCAATGAAAAATTCAAAAACAGATTCTCAAAGAAATATTGAGAATATGCATTGAACGTTTTTTTCTTTTTTTCACTATTCAATCAAAATATTTATGTTTCTTTTTATTTAATAATTAAACGTCATCTTATATATAAATGCTAATAGTTTAAAGAAATTTAATATCGCAAATCATGTCTGGCATGCTAACGAATAATTTATATTATTTTCATTATAAACTCATTTTTACAGAGATAGTTATCTACTGATATCGTTAAGATGACCTAAAATCTACAACAAATTAAAAGTTCACATAATTTTGTATGTAAGTTTAAAAATTTTAACCTATATTTACTGATAATATAAAAATATTTACAGTATTTGTGTGTTTAATCTATTATAATAAGTGACCTGTCTTATTTAAGTATTAACTAATTTCACTTATTCTTTTATGAATAATTACTCTTAATTGTTTTCTAATGCCAACTGTGTACGGTTTAGTTAACGACTTTGTCTTTAGCGTATTCAATTATGGATATGTAATCATTGACGTTGTTAATAATAATGTATTTTTTTTAATTATTAATTGAACAATAGTATAATTTGCTTTGGTAGGTAGTATAAAATAATAAATGGTTGAATATAGTAAAAAAAGAAAAGAAGGCAAAATGCTCACATCAACATAATATAAAATGGTACTATTATAAAAACATATATATGTACTAGAGTTGTGAAATTTAATTGGTGGACTTTGCCATAATGGATAATATTTTTTTTTATATTTATTGGACAAATTAATTAAAGTAGCACGAGAGAAAAATCTACATAAAATAAACCTTGTTGTTTTCTTTAAGTTGTTAAATTTTCAATCTAAATAGTGTTCCATTAATTTGGGACCTTCCAGGTGGTATTTGCTTCTATGTTCAAATCAAATCTTTAGTGTGTATATTTGCCATAATATAAGTGTTTACATGTCTAGTTAAACAACAATTAAGGTTTTGTCAAGTTGTTTAGTTACAAATTCTAACTATCACAATAAATTGATCATTAAATTTTGATAATTCTAATAGATTATCATAAACGTTAAAAATATCAACAAAAGAAATCAAGTTGATTCGATATTCAATTTATTTTCCTTTATCAGATTTCGATAAATATCTTATTCTTCTCTACATATATCATCGCAAGAAATATAAATTTGTTAACGAAGAACACAAAAGGTATTAATCTTGACTTGACTTTAATTAAGTTTTTCCAATGTGGTATTAATTATCCACACGTGTACTAGCCTTCAAAATTGCCAGCACAATTGTAAATTAATGCCAATGTTCATGTGGCCTAAATAAAAATTAGTAAGATATTTATTACGTATAAAAATATTGGAAAAATTATAGAAATCCCACTTTTTAATTTACTTATTACCATTATTCCCTATAAGTTTTACAAATCTTCAAAATCCCTCATTTTCGCGCATCAGATTAGTGTATCAGCGCTTATATTTTTGTATCTCGCGCATCAGATTAATATATCAACGCTTATATTATTGTATCTCGCGCATCAAATTAATGTATCAACGCTTATATTATTATATCTCGCGTATGTATCAGCGTTTATATTATTATATCTCGCGCATTAGATTAATGTATCAGCGCATATATTATTGTATCTCGCGCATCAGATTAATGTATCAGCGCTTATATTATTGTATCCGTTTGAGGGATTTCTGTAATTATAAACTTTTAAGGGATAGATTGTAATTTTGCCTTAAAAGTATGTGATTTCTGTAATTTACCCAAAATAATTTACAAAATACTTAATATTGAAGTATATACATTGCATATACGAGAGCAATTGTGAGGTGTTAAAATTTACTGTTAATAAATGTATACTGCGACATATTATTAAAGTACGGAGTATATAATTTGGTTAGCTATAGTTACTGAATTTAAAAAATAATCTTTACGAAAATCAAGTACCTAAAATAAGTTGATCATATTTGATATAAATCTCATATCTACACTTATATATTATGCTGATACAGATACAATATGAATTTTAAAGAGTCTGCGCAACATATATATTAATGTGTCACGACCCAGATCGTCGTGATTAACACCCACACAAACCCTCCGGTGGGAGAACCATTACTACACCCAAACAACCAAATTTTATGAAAACTAAGGCATTTAAAGATACAGAAGCAAGTTTAAATGATTATAAAAATGGAGTCCCCATAAACTCCAAGGTTTTAACAAACAACTAACCAAACTAATGCGGAAGAACAACCCCTAGAACCTGAAAGTCATTGTATCAAAACTCTACTAACGACAAGTCTAAGAACAAGGGGTACAACCCTGAAACTAAACAACACCTTAAACAAAAGTCGGAGTCTGAAAAGAGTGGACTTAAACAAGAAAGATTCATGGCAGCCTGAAAGAACTGGCTCACCCTTGAATCCGGTCACACTCAATAGTCACGTAGTTGAGGTCTATCAATAGCCACCTGAAGATGCCCTGTACTCAACAAAGAAAGAGCAAGTGCAGTATCAATACACAACTGCAATGTACTGGTAGGATCACGCGGCTATCCTATTAAGTTCAATGTACATAAGTCATTACAACAATATAATAACATGCATACACCGAATATACACAATGTCGATATCATTTACGAACAACGAACAAATTTCACATTTATCAAGATATACAGTTATGTCAAATCAATGGTCCTCTCATGGAACCCACACCCAAACTGTTAGCATACCGGAGTGTGGTACCTGATCCAATGTTTATGCCGGAACGTGGCAATCGATCCCATGTTTATGCCGGAACGTGACAACCGATCCAAGTTAGTGTGTCAGAACGCAACACCCGATCCATTCAACAAGCCACAATCACAATCAAAAGTATATTCTCAAAATCATACAATCAAGTCATGATTCATGACATTCATCATTCATCTATCCTCATCCATAAGTAATGTGATCAATAGTGCAACATTCACATATATACACGTATTATAAATGAAGCAAGAACAAACATATATCACACAATCATGAAATCACAACCATTACCTACTTCGAATCCAAGCTTGATCCCCTAAGGCACTTGAATCTTCCTTTCCGGATTCTTCTCGCTTGTTCGTAGGTCTAAAAATATACAATTAACGCAAGAATCAACAATCAAAGGTCTAATTATCCGGATTATAACAAACCCAATAACCCTAGACCAAACTCAAGATCCTAATACCCAATTTAGGGCTTTTTCCACCATTAGTTTTAGACCAAAACCCTTCCGCCACAATAATTACCTATGAATTTACATTCTACGGATTGAAAAAGGATTCGGGGAGTGAAAACCTTACCTTTAGCCTCAAGAATGGTGGAAAACGGTCAAGAAAACCCATGGGGTCGTTCCTTAGCTCTCAAAGTCGAAAAGTGCAAAATAAAACGTTTTTGAGATTTTATTTCTGACTTAAGTCGCGTCTGTCCCGCTACGGCGGGATCCATCCCGCTATAGGCGACATGCACGGAAACAGAATGCTGGAATTTGAATTCCAAGCCCCCATTTCACAACACACCTTCAACCCTTGACATTCAAAAACCACCCGTTCACGCTAAGATCATTTTTGGGAATTCTACTCGCCCGAATTCAATTCCATAAAGTCGTACGGGTTCCTTAACGTCTTAGCTATCTATTCATGTAATCAAAATCATAATTAAATCACCCAGTTGTTACCAGATTTCCCTAGACTTTACTGACTCCGATTTCATCCAAATCTGGACTAGGTTAAGAAATTCCAAGTTACTACCAAAAGTTTTCTGACCCCAATTCTTTCTCCATTGACTTTTTCCTAACAACGGAATCAGGTCGTTACATAATGAAAAGATTCTCCTCCTGTTATATGCACCAATTGTTTTGTCTGATTGATGATTTTAAACACAAAAACACGTTTCTCATGATGTGTGAAAAAAAAATTAGTATGGTGTCAAATTGATACTGTCAAATGCTAAAGAAAAACGCGGCATTTTATTAATAGCTCAATATTTCACAAATTTTTTGATTTGTTACTTTTTTAATTTCTAATATGAAATATTATGAATTGAATAATAAAGATAAAATAGATATCGACCTTACCTCACTAAAACATAAGATAAAGATAAAATTGTTTTAAAAAAGTCATATATTTTAATCTTTTATTTTGAGTGAGTTCATTGCTTATATGGTCACTTGATTATAATAATTATATAATAAAGTTTCTTATTATTGTTTTGACGGGGAGACTATATTCTTCAAAGTTGAGTTATTTATCCCCACCCACCCCAACAATAAAAAAAAAAAAAAAAAAAAAATTGAATAGGTAAAACCTACAGAGTAAAGGCACTTTTAACGTTTAATTTTCAAAGTTTAAAATGACAAGATTAACATAGTTAAATGTCGTGGAAATACGTACCAACCTAACATTTATCACTTTGCCAAAAATTGACATTTCAATATGATTTATATATAGGACTCATTTGTTTACATTAACAGTAGTATATTTAAATTTGAATGTATATTTAGATGATTAAAATGTTAGATTGTATATTTGAATTCTAAATGATTAACACCATTTGTTTTTTAATATTTGAATGTGCATGATTATTATTTTTTAAACATAATAAATATATCATTCAAATAAATTTAAATTTAATATAATAAAATTAT